GTGCTCATAAACATATTAAATTTCTTCTCCGGCACAACCGGCCTATCCAAATGTATTTAAATTATTACGGGGGATATTGATTATCCACAATAAACTCAACGCAATTACCAATTCATATATTTATGAGTAACGTTTTCACTATACGTTTTGTAATCTCTAGTACATTTTGACTGCGTAATGCAGATAGGGGACAAATGTTTCCGGATAATTTCAAATTAAATTCCTTCGTTCATAGTTACAAGATACTTGTTGTAAATTAACGTCAATTAATTCAACGTTAATTAATTCTTAGTTCTCTTCTTGAGAAAACGACATATAGTTTTTATTATCAAAAACTGGATGCCACTATATGGATGATATTGTTAATATTTTATAGCTGTAATTGTTTTTTCGGCCATGGAATGTGAAAGCAAATATCTAATGGTCCTCTGGTCATCCTCACAAGAAACGCAAGAAGCCAAAAAAAAAGCCTAGTCTGAATAGGGTTAAATCAGCAACATTTATCGTTATTTTTTTAAAAAACAATTCGATAATACACTTTTCGTTTCAAAAGTGTGCTTGGGGAAATTCTCAATCTAGGTAGTTTTCTTGCAATTTTAAGCCCCATTTTCGTAACTTTAATTATAGCCGTAGGAAAAAACGACCTTTAGGGGTTCCCTAACTTACAAGGAGATTTGTCGAATCTTTTTTTTCCCCTTTAGATTCACTCCGGCTGGGACCGGACCACCGCCTTCCCGAGAAAAGTAGATCAGTCTATACGCAGAAAAAACCGAGAAGTTTTGTCACAAATGAAGCTCTAAGTAACTTTTTTTTATAGAAAACTTCTTATGGTTACTTTAGAAAACGACTTGTTACGATTCCTACTAAAGGCGTGTAAGAAAGAGATCTGCATGCAAATTATAAAGCATCATTGATTGTCAACTTCATGTCCGTCAAAATTGACACCATTCAATACGTATTAAGTATTTAACACATGAAAACTAAAGGACACGTTAACTTTAATCTATAACGAGAAAATGTTTTGTAGGAAAAAAAGTTTGCGGGCAACGTCTCCGTAGTTTACTATTCCGTCGTTTTCTATTGTTGAGTCCAAGTTACTTTAGTTGTTGTTAGCGGGGTGGACAAACATCAATTGGTAATTACATATGAAAATTTTTAACCGGTTTTTTTGTAGTACTCGTTAAAAAAACTACATTTCTGTTTCTCTAGAAATACAAAATCAGAAATGATGATCTCTGTGATCAGAAGTATAATTGGCTAGGACAGGAGCCGATGGTCAGGATCATCGTAATGACACATGATTTAAGCACTCATCAAAGAGCCACGGCAACGGTTTGACGTGCTTTTATTCTTCCCTTTCCCCACACAATATTAAATTAACATGATAATATTCGCTGAGTACTAATCAATCGATATACATGTACCGTACAAAGACCTTCAAGAGACGATGAAATCATTCCATAAAATCTGAGTGATACTAGCAATTTGTCTTGCAGTTAGTTTCTCTGTAATTTTTGTCAGTACGCTGTGTGAAGCTGAGTATTTACTTTGTTAAAATGCAGGTCAAGTTGAATCGATGTTCTTTGAACACCTGCTGAAAGTGAACCGAATTTTCATTAATTAATAAAATCGTACTTTGAAAGAAAAAATTTTTAGCAAATTCCATATTATTTTCAAATATGTGAATTTTGTTTTTGTTTTTGCTATCAGTAAGCTAACACGACTTTATCAACAAGACTAGGCTAACCATAATGTGAAATTTAAATTCTTTATGACATCTTTTTGACATCTATACTTGAATTTATGGCCTATTTTAGAAAATAATTGAAATTAACAAATCGTGCTTAACAAGTAATTCTCTTTGCGAGCAGAATTTAGCTTACTTGGTTGCAAAAACGACTTACTAAGTATTTAAAGGACGAAGACTTGTGGTAGGCTAGCCAATTTTTTCGAAAATAAGGCGATCGAGTCTTTATCAGTCTAGTTTTTATATTTGGTAAGCCTTATTAACCGACTTAGTAAGAGCACAACGAGATTAAAGATAATATTTGACTGACTCGATGAAGAAGCATGTTTTACGAAATTTGTTATGTTTATTAGTTGTTAAATAACGTTTCATGCAATTTTCGGCTCAGAGATCGAATTATCTTGATTCATTCTTCAATATAAGTAAGCCTTTGACTAGTACTGCCGACTAAAAAAAGACATGAATTTCTTATACAACCAAATTGAAATTAACAATACAATAAAAACCTAATTCGATGAACAGAAAAAGTGGCTGATTGTCTCTTTAACTGCTTTCCTTACCTCTCTGATCCTCCAACAATAAAAAAGGGGTTTAATGACGAGTTTGCTAAAAGAAGAGAGAATGTAATATTTTCTGCGAGGTAATAAACTGAGAAAGTTATCTCACTTGGCCTTAAGACCATAGCTATACAAAGCGGCAGATAACAAACAAGCAATGTTACCTGCACCCATAGTGCATTGTAGACTGCCTTTCTGTATCGAGCTATATTCAGTGGAACTTTCTGGTTCCGTTTTCCTTGAAAAGCGCCATCTTGAACATGAAATTGCCTTCCTCGTAATGTAAGGAAGATTTTGGCATAACACAGACTTGAGATGACTACACATAGAGAAATAGTTATAAACGTAGACCAGCCGAATATAAGGGAATAAAAAGAGTAGTTTGCTGCGCCAATGAAAGCGGAGAGAATCCACATTACAATTACACTTATATACGCTTTTCTCATTGTTACAATATGTCTGTATCTTAAGCCCAACAACAGGGCGAGGAGTCTGTCCACGCTTATTGCAGTTAATGTTAATAAAGACACTGAACACAAAATGATGCTAGAGATCATATTTGCCAAATCTGAGTAATAGCAAATATCCCATCTCTCTGTTACGACGGATATCAAATAAGCAACAAATAGAGGCTGCGCAATGACACCAACACATAGATCAGTTACCGCTAGGTTACGAAACAGGAGTTTGGACGGCTTATTGAGTGAAGTCCCCTTGTGAAGAGCAACTAGGATCAGAATGTTTCCCAGAAATGCAGTAATGGACAGAAGAATATTTAGCACTGAAACAAATATAAGATCGCTGAGTCTTTCCTCCCTAAGTTCTCCTGAGCAATACAATTCTCCAGCTGTGTTCTGACTTTCCTCTCCGGTAAAATTGTTTTCTAGCTTCATTTTTCTGCAACGCGAACTTGGACCGCAACCTGGCCATAAACATTAATTTTATTTCTTCTCGCAGACTATCCCAATTTATTTAATTACCGAGGATATTGTGATTATCAAATTAACTCAATTACTAATTCATCTTTGCGCAGCTGCGTTTTCGGCATAAAACGTTTTTAACATGCTTCATCACCAACAAAAATAGCTTCTTTCATAAAATTATAAAATACTTTAAAATTGTCCAACAATGCAAGTACACGTTTCAATTTTTAGCTATGAGAAATGCAGTAATAGACAGAAAAATATTTAGCACTTAAACAAATATAAGGTCGCTGAGTCTTTCCTCCTTCAGTTCTTCTGAGTAATACAATTCTCCAGCTGTTTTCTGACTTTCCTCTCCGGTAAAATTGTTTTCCAGCTTCATTTTTCTGCAATGCGAACTTGGACCACAAACTGGCCATAAACATTGATCTTATTTCTTCTCGCAGGCTATCCAAATTTATTTAAATTACCGAGGATACTGTGATTATCAAATTAACTCAATTACTAATTCATCTTTGCGCAGCTGCGTTTTCGGCATAAAACATTCTTAACATGCTTCATCACCAACAAAAGTAGCTTTTTTCCTAAAATTATAAAATACTTTAAAATTGTCCAACAACGCACGTACACGTTTCAATTTTTAGCTCTCTTCTCAGGAAACTTACACATGGTACGGTACTAATTATCACAAACTGCATGTCAATAATGATGACCTAATAGATTACTAATCTAGAGATTTGATTGGTCCTATGAGGCTTATGGCTCAGTCCGTAATACGGATAAGTGACTATCTGATCTTCCTCCGGTCAATCTTACAAAGTTAAATCAGCAAAATGTACCTTTTTTCTCTTTTTGTTTCTTTAAGCTTCACTCTAGGAAGAGGGCTACGATCCGCTGGAGAAAAATAGCTATCTGGAGAAAAAATCGTGCAATTTTGTCAAAAATTAAGCCATTAACTTTCATAGAAATAACGGTAACTTAAATTGTAACAGGTAATTAGCCCTTGCCGTCGGCCAAACGACTTGTTACGATCCCTGCTAATGGAAAGGCTGTAAGAACTGAGAGAGTGCAAGTAAATTTTAATACGCCATAATTATAAAATTAATAATTTTATTATTCGTCAGATTTAGGACCATCAATAGGTAAGGTGTCATTACTGACAGTCATATTTATTATTATATTGTTAGTGGAGGGTCCTCGCGCAGTGGAGCCCCATACATAAAAAAATGGAAACCTATCGATGACAGAAAATTTGGTTACGACGGCAGCGTAAGAAAGCCCACCCGTACAGACACTATTAGTAGGATTAAGAAAACTCTTATTGAATATTTCCTGTGTTCGGTTTAGCACAAAATTTTCGGATTTTCGGAATTTTCTTGGTCACATTCTTGGTCACTCTAGCAACAACCTAGTCTCCCCCTCCCCCCTCCCCCACCCCTCTCCCCCTACACTCTGCCTGGTCGCAATTTTGACAGGTGAATTGATGCATGAAAACTTATTTAACAAAAGAAGCAAGGCTGATTTTACAGTCGGGAATATATATATTTTTTACCAATATTTCGGAAGGAACGGCCTTCCTTCTTCAGGGCGTTACATACAGTGATGGGGTTAAGGTGGCTGAACACAGAACTCACACGTGACGGCGCGTGTTTTAAATTAGACAAACAGGCCAAAAAGCAATGGTACAGAGAAGATGATTTCTCAAAATCCATTCATTAAAATTTTGTGATATTTGGCAGAATTTTTCCTTTTATCGTATTTTAAATAATGAGAACTTTAAAATGGAAGTTAAACAGACGAATATTGTGACACATTTAATAATTACAGCTTCATTATATTATTGATTATCTAATATCCCGTCTGTTAAAATTTGGTCAAATAAGTTTCAAATGGTAATGATTAATTATAGTAAGCTGTGTGCAAGTTTACAGGAAAATCTAATGAGCGAATTTTATGTAAACTGAGCAAAAGTGAAATTTAAAGGTTGTATTCAATCTTTCATGTTGCCATGGAATTACGAAAACGTCAAATTTTACCTGCAATCAAAATTTTTCATCAGTATATTTTTCACTTGCCAAGTTTAAGCCTGTGACCTGCAACCTTTCTCTTGCCATGATTTGGCAAATGACATATACTCACAAACTGCCAAAACTGTGTTCAGACACCTTAAGCTAAGACGTTACAATTTGAAATAAAGAACAGCGTGCAATATGATACTATAATTACATGTGAAAATTTAAATAAGAAAAATGTGAACGTTAAGGAAAACAAAAACCGTTGAAGTAGTGATATGAAACAAATTACCAATGAAAAAATAGTATATAAAAACTGATAGATAGATAGATAGATAGATAGATAGATAGATAGATAGATAGATAGATAGATAGATAGATAGATAGATAGATAGATAGATAGATAGATAGATAGAAACTTTATTTATGTGTCAAGAAAGAAAAACTAGCCGAGGGGCAGGCCCTCTACTAATAGGGGACACCTACAGTTAAAATATAATAGATACAATAATTAAGTAGATAAAAAAATCCATACAATATGTTACAAATTGTTAGTTAAAATACTAAAGCTGAGTGCTAAAATGCTAAAATTATTTCCGATGAGACATCAACTATCACGCAGAAGACATCCTTTGCATCAATCATCAATAAGAGATGNTGGGCATAAATATGTTTTGGGCCCTTCTCAGACTCATTTTAGCCCTCGCCTAGCGGCTCGGGCTAAAATGAGTCTGAGTCGGGCCCAAAACATATTTATGCCCGCGAACATAAACTCTATTGTTATATTGTTAGTGGAGGGTCCGCGCGCAAAGGAGCCGCAAACCTAAAAGAAAATGGAAACCTATCGATGACAGAAAATTTGGTTACGACGTCAGCGTAAGAAAGCCCACCCGTACAGACTCTATTAGTAGGATTAAGAAAACTCTGATTGAATATTTCCTGTGTTCGGTTTAGCACAAAATTTTCGGATTTTCGGAATTTGCTTGGTCACGTTCTTGGTCACTCTAGCAACAACCTAGTCTCCCCCTCCCCTCCCCAACCCCCCCTACCTCCACACTCCGTCTGGTCGCAATTTTGACAGGTGAATTGATGCATGAAAACTTATTTAACAAAAGAAGCAAGGCTGATTTTACAGTCGGGAATATATATATTTTTTACCAATATTTCGGAAGGCAAGGCCTTCCTTCTTCAGGGTGTTACATACAGTGGTGGGGTTAGGGTGGCTGAACACAGTTTTGAGGGCGGTCAGCGGTAACTTGCGTGGCGGCGCGTGTTTTAAATTAGACAAACAGGCCAAAAAGCAATGGTACACAAAAGATGATTTCTCAAAATCTATTCATTAAAATTTTGTGATATTTGGCAGAATTTTTTTTTGGGGTCAGTGATACTGGCGTATGGGTACGAATTCTTTTCCAAGATTACTACTGTTATCGAATTTGATTTGTAATTTTCTCTTTTTGTTTTAAAATCAGCCAAGTCTAATTTCTTTAGTTTTAAGTATTATTTTTTTGTATAAAAGGGCGCTTCGCATTTAGCCAGAGCCAAATCTATATATTATTAATTGCAATAACAATACAAGAATATAGATCAACGGATTACCACAAAAAGGAAAAGGGAGAGAAAGAAAAAAAAGATACAGACTATTTACATCATAGTAAAAAAGTATTCGTCATAACTTGTATTATAAGCGATTACATGTAAACTTTCTTATTTTCTTTTGTGCTCTTCAGTTGTTTTATTATAAATTGTGTGCAACTGGGGGATATCTCATAAATTTTACAACCATATCATCATCATAAGACCTCATAATACTTTTTAATTTTGACAGGACGAGTAGATCTAGTTGGCGTCTGAGGTTATCATTTGTAGGACGGAGGCTATTTCAGTCATATGAAAACAGATTTTAAATTTAATCTACCATAAGTTGTATTCCACTCAGTGGTTTATGGTTGGTAAGTCGCATATGCGGAAAAAGCAAACTCTTATGCCAGCCACAATTAAAACAGAGACGTTTATGATATGTTTTGTATTGCCAATGCACGGGGCGAGTTAAAAAATTTCTTTGTACGGTTCAATGTTTTCATCCTTTTGGCTGACGAAATACAAGGTATTTTTTTAATCTTTAATCTTTAATCACAGTTCGTAACCATACATAACTGATACAAATGAACTAATGCTAACATATACAATCGAACAAAAATACAAAAATGGTTAACAGGACGGTAGTAGGGGGAAACCAAATTCCCATGCCAAGACATACCCTCCAAAAAAAAAAAAAAGAAAAAAAAAATTAATTAATTAATTAATACCAGAAACCCATAAGGGGTTGAAACGTGTAACTCTACATAAACATAAATTAAAAGACTATATATTAGACTATAAATTATAAACCTAGATGCCTAATAATAATGCATAAACTTATATTAAAGACACTATGTCTAGTATTTTCTCCATTTAATACTCGCTTCCATGAATTAGTCACTTTGAAATTTTCTGACTTCCGATCCTCTACTGTAATGAAGTCTTCCGTTTCTCAAGGTTAGTAATTATATAGATACTTTTTTAATTATAAATTTTATTTTTGTACGGGCAACTTTAGGCCTTATTTTATACTCATGCTTACTTCTAGTTCGAGTTATTCCAATAATATCAAAGTAATGATGGCAATTGATATCACACTAACCAAATATAATCATATACATTCGCTACCCCTCATTTGATTCCTCATTGTACCGATGAGGTTTTCGCGCAATGGCTAAATTTGATTTCTGATGCATACATGCTTCAGATAAACAAACACGTGAGATGGATACAACGTTAAAAGTAAGCGTGACTAATCACAAAGGCGGAATCAGTATTTCGTCTCGATTTTCGACACCGTTTTTCGGTAACTATAGCAACGGTTTCACACATTATAAGAGGGTTCATCTTTTATTAGATTGTATTGACCTGATCGAAATCAGGATCTGATTAATATCAGTGATCGGCTTATGATATTTTAGAGGAAAAAATAATCTTGCTAGCTGTTCTATCCGACAGATCGATGATTTTGAAACAATTTGAAATAGGTCATAATAAGTACATTAAATAATGATCCAGGTAAGGCAGGAAGCAATTTCTTTTCGCTATGGCGCAATGTGCTTTCCTCACAGGAATATTTTTTCATTATCATGCAGAGAATGCATAAAACTACAAAAAGGCAGTTCATGAAATAAAATGTCCTATAACTCCATTTTTAAAGGGTGTTTTTTTGTGTTAAAAGATTTCGACCAGTCATAGGAGTTGCAAACAATGGCCAAGAAAAGTTCACAATTTTACATGTTCCTCTCACGCAGGATTTCTGTGTTACTTAGACTCAGGCGAGATTTTGTCATAAGGAAGTTGGTTAGAAAACAAAGGGCGGATTACTATACATGCTGCTTTGCGAAGAGTTCGTAAAATTTAATGTTTAAACCAATCAGAAGTGTGGTAGAGACAATTAAAGTAAAGTTAAAAAGTTTTTACATTCCAACGTCATTGCGTTTAGTTTTTTCCTTCTCATCTGAATCATTACTTAATACTGGTAGAACTAACTTGATGAAGAGAAAAGATGTCTGACTGTGTCTTTAACAGCTTGCCTTACTTCTCTGATCTTCCAGCAATACAGGAGCGGGTTTAGTGATGAGTTTGATAAAAGTAAAGTGAGCGTCATGAGGTAAACCGACAAAGAAAACTCAGGTATTGCTGTCGCTAAACCAAACGGTAGATAACAAACAACCAATGTTACCTGCACCCACAGTGCACTGTACACTGCCTTTCTGTATCGAGCTAGATTCAGTGGAATCTTTATAAATTCAGTTGGTCCTTGAAAAGAGCTATCTTCGAGGCGTATTTGGCTCCGTCGTAGTACAAAGAAAATTTTCGTGTAACACAGACCTGAAATGACTACACATAGAGATATTAATATAAACATTGACCAGTCGAGTATAACAGTATCCAACAAAAAGTAGACTGCCGCGCCAATAACAACGGATATAACCCACATAATAATTACACTTATATACGCTTTTCTCAAAGTCGCGACTTGTCTGTATCTGATGCCCAACGAGAGGGCGAGAAGTCTGTCCACGCTTATTGCAGTCAAAGTGAACAAAGACATTGAACTCAAAATGGCGCCAACGGCAAAACCTTCGTAGTCTAGGTAGTAGCAAATATCCCATCTTTGTTTTACCAAAGACATCAAATAAGTAACCAACAGAGGCTCCGCAATGATACCAACACAGAGATCAGTTATCGCTAGGTTACGAAACAGGAGTTTGGACGGCGGATAAAGTGAAGTTTCTTTGGGCAGAGCTACTAGAATCAGCGTGTTCCCCACAAATGCTGTAATGGACAAAAAAATATTGAGCGCCAAAAGAAAGATAAGTTCGCCTTGTATTTTCTCCGTAAGTTCCTCTGAGTAATACGGTTCTCCAACTGTTTTCGGACTTTCATTTGCTGTAAAATTTGTTGGTATAGTCATCTTTCAGTGATGCTGCCCTGATGATGCTATCCTTATGTTCACGAACATAAATTTCTGCTATGGCGCCGACTATTAAACTGAACCGAGTTTATTTAAATTCTTACAGGGATATTGTGTATCCCCAATATTACCAATTCATCTTTTCTAGTATAGTTTTCACTGACAGAGTTACTTTTTTGATCTCTAGCAAATTTGGACAGCTTACATTACTGCAGGCTTGGGACAGTAATTTTGCAATTTAATGCTTCATCTGAAATAAAATGCCTTCGTTTATAGTTACAAGAGCTTAAATAACTCACGCTTTAATTTTTAGCGCTCTTCTTGGGAAAACAACATATGGTACTTATTATCAAAGAAAACTGTATGTCAATTAATATCGATGACAATGCTAATATCCTAGAGTTTTCGTAATTGGTTTATCTGCCATGGTATATGAAAAGCGAATAGTTGATTGTTTTCTTGTAAAACTTAATTAAACTTGTTAAAATTTCATGTCTTCTTGTTCATGTTTGAAAACAGAATTTGACAATGCACTTCTTGTTTGCTACTCAACCAATTTTCATTCAAAAGCGCATGCTCGGAAATTAGTTCACTGTCATTTCACCCCAGGGACCGGTTTATCGCCTGCCAGAGAAATATTGTTTCACGTACAAAAAACCGAGTAGTTTTCTAACATTTTTTTCGAAGCCCTATTTTCATGAAATTAGTAAAAATACAGTAACACGAAAATAAAAATAAATACAACGAAAGTACTCATTTAAAGCCCCTGTCGTCTGATAAACAACTCGTTAGGGTTCCTGCCAAAGGCTAAAAGTTCTAATAGCAAGACATATTACTATTAAAGAAAGCAAGATTTATTTAATAATCTTTTAAAACATTCTTAAAATTAACGATTAGGCAAAATTGCATAATTGGAGGGAGAAGAACCGTTGCACTTTTTAGTAACGATATGCGCAAACTCCTCACGAGCAAAAAAGCTGAATGTTGTAGAGCGAGAAAAAAGGAGAAATAAGTAAAAAAATCAAGAGAGAATGAGCTAGATCATTCTCCCTTGATAAAATAAAATAAAATATAATATTGCAATAAGAATGTCTTGTTTTTCTCTCTTTGATTGTCTTTCCAAATTTTCTCTCTAAAGTTCAATATCTTCTGTTCTAGACCGATAATTAGCAATTGAATAAGGCTTATGATGATGAGAAGAATCTGCCGATCGAGGAGAATATTAAAGGCCGAGGTGGATAACAGCCTCCGACATCTGCTTAATTCTTCACATCAAACGAAAGACAAATTCAGTACTATTGATTGTTTTATTACTCCTTCAAAATATTTCTAAGTTCTTAACAGGCTTGCCTCCTAGTAGACTTTCTTCTAAACTTTGGCCTGTTTCTTGGCACAGTTTCGGATATAAAAAGATGTTTCTTCTTGCGGATACTGTACTTTTGAAAAATTCAATAACATCCATCGACCAATATCTTTTGCGTATTCTTGAATATATTTTGTACAGTTTTAGTCTTCGGGTCTTTTAAGTTCACTCGCCTGGATACGAGGTTGATCGCTGGGATATTTACCGGGAAACGAGACTACTTGGGCAATATCCATGATGGTATTTTGCTCGGATCTTCCAGATTTGGTCAATTCCAGCTGGTTATGAAAAATAAACTTGGGGATTTGAGCCAATCAGAAATGGGAAAATACTGAATGAAAAATAATTTTGATTTTTTTTTCTTTCAGAGCTATCGAATACAAGAAATGAATTAGATCACGCAAAAATTCAACTGGAACAGGCAAAGCAGAGAATCTTCAATCTTACCACAAAAGGAACGCAGAGACATGAAGTCCACACAAATGATTATAAAAATGACATCCATGACAAGTAAGATCTTGATATACATTGCATGTCATAAACTAAATCTATAAAAACCACAGTGTAACTTTAACGTAAGTACCTTCCACGCTGAGTGTGTTTATGTTGGAAATAATTGAATGAAACGCACGAATTTGGAAAGTAAAAACCTCAAAACTAGGCTTTCAGCAGCTCTACTCTGTTTAGGTTCTGTCTTGTGAATGTCTTGCAAAGTTAATTTTTACGTAGTATGATCTACTTTGCAGAATTCAATGTTTCTAAAATTATCATTTTAATGAACAGGGATATGCAAGTACCGATGGAATACCAGGATTTTTCCAGTGACGAAAATTTGGTATCCAGTGAGGATACAATTTTTATCCTTCACATGTGAAGACATCTCGGTTGTCATGGCAACTTCAGTGTCAGCCAATAGAAAAAGAGCATTACAGCATCTCGCCATCGGTGTCTATATAATAAACAGAATATTATATGCCCGCTTGTGGATACGAATTGCATCCTCTCGTGTTCAACTCGATATTTCACGAGTGAACGCAGCGAACTAGTGAGATATCGAGTTGAACACTCGAAGATAAAATTCGTATCTACGCGCGGGCATGTAATTTCCTCTATATGTCAGTGATCCACGAAAAAAAGATTGGGTACAGGATAAAGATGCATCTGAGTGTGCGAGAAAATCGCTCCTTGTAAGGGACTCCGGGTTCCGGGATCCGGCAAATCTTTGCTTGTGTAATCCGGAATCCAGGAAAATTTCGCTTGGGGAAAGTGGAATCCTGGGCTTTGGAATCCGGAAAACAGCTCAAGGAATCCGGAATCTCACTAACCATTGGAATCCGGATCCAAGTTCCACTGACTATAAGAATATGGAATCCAGAACCAGGAATCCAGAATCCACGGTGTGGATTCCAGAATCCAAGACTGTCTTGGATTCCCTTACTTGGGGCGAGAGAAACCTAAGGGTAATACCCTGGACTAGTGCGCCGGATCACGTAGGACATTTGTAGGAAAAAATAAGTAAACCATAGGAATTGTGACTGACGGATCGTGCCCTTTATCCAACAAGGTCACCCGTTGTGGTACTGAATGGTAGACTTTGTACTTTGAAGTATTGAACTGAGAACTATAAATCGTAATGAGTGACTTATTTCCATTTTTGTTACCACTGTTTCTTTTTGTTGATCAAGTTTATTATTTTTTTATTATTGAATCATTAAATCAATATGACGATTTCCTTGGTGGCATATATACAAGGGAAGGAGCCTAACAAGTATTTACGGCAAATTACAATTGCTTTGCTACTTTAGATTTAGTGGCCACAAGCTTGTTCATCTTGATCTCGGAGGAGCGCCACCAAAACTGACCTATCTACTACAGGTAATTCCTTTTGAAAATCACTCTGCTCTCGTATACATATACAGCCCACAGAATCATTTGCTTTATCAAATACTTCGTTTTCACTTGAGCCTTTTCTTCTTTGCTTTTGCCTATTTCTATATAGCCTGCCACAGATCCTGATTCTATCTTTCTTTTATGGCCCCACTAGTATTTCACATAAGACTCGGTTGGCAAATGGGGAAATCGTTATTCGCGAACAGCTCAGATCAGGATTTTAGATCATGCATGTATATCGCGGCTGGAGACCTTCCTGCCTTCCTGGCTCAAAAGAGGGCTTTCTATGCCAGAGGTTAATTTGTGGAGTTCAGAGGAAGTCTTTATAGTCCAAGATAAAGAATTTGGAATGTACGTCAAAAACTGCCTCTGTCCTTAACACCCCATCTAAACGCAGAGGATCACTTTCAGGTCTCCAAATAGGATGGTTTGATTTGGAGACAAGTCGAATTCACTTGTCAAAGTTTTGTTCATTACAATTAACGAGGATTCTAATTTCCAGGTTACTCGTTCTGTATTGTGGATTATCGGTTAGGTGATACACTAACTAATTACAAACGCTTTTTGTCATTGTTTTAGCTTCTTCCATTTTTCCGTAAATGGGGCGCCACAGGGCTCCTTATTGAGTATGCTGATACGTTTCCTTACTCTGGAGAGCTCGAGGTGATTCAAGGACCTGACGTATTTAGGTAACAACTGTTCGACTTAGAGGGCAGGTAGTTCTCCTAGGCAACGTTGATAGTCGTAGATGAATTATGCTTTAGTATCATTCGATTGAAGTATCCTTAGTACTGTGATAAAGACCCTGGTCATTGACTTTTTTCGTGATGTCATGTAGATACTAAATGAATAACTGCTAGAGCATGCTTTGTTTTATTATAATAACTATTCCAATCAATATTAGATTTAAAAAAAACATACGAAAACAAAAACAAAGGAGTCAGAAAATGCATAAGAAAGTAATTAACGTTTCTCTAACATGGCACTGTTCATTTCTAAAACGCAGGGTACAAAAGCAAATTTGACAAACTACTTTCAAATTAGTAATCTTTCATTTTTCCACTTTTTTCCATTTAATTACTCCGCAAAATCTTTCAATCCAAACATTTTTCAAAAATTAAAGGAAATCATGCAACATTAATAAGGTGGGTGCTTTACAATATAAAAAACTGGAACCTGTAAGCGATAGCCCAGCAAATAATCACTTACGACCTTCTTCACTTCCCCTTCATTATGCCTTTCATTCCTTCTTCTTAGCACCTCCTTAATGACAATGGTTTTTTTTTATCGTTACCTAGCCAAGACGAAGTTTTGTTCTTGATTAAAGAAGCACGGCGGAACGATCTTATCGTTATACCACTTGTACAGACATTCGGCCATCTCGAGGTATTTTAGTTTCTTACAGATCTCCTTCAGTACCCATTAGCTTCTAAGAGCATCCGATTCTTTAATTTGGGATTGGACTAAATATGACACTCCTCTGCACTATATATTTGTAAATACTTTCATTTTTTAATGGAAATTGTTTTTACTCTAAAAATGATTTAGCCTACGTGAGGCAAATAATCTATGAAATATAGATCTAATTGCATTTATTTACGTTTTTTTTCTTCCTCAGTTTGTTTTAAAGCACGAAAAATTTGCCCACCTTCGTGAGACAGCCAAATACACAAACTCAATATGCCCCAACAATCCAGGTAGGAGATGAGAGATTAAACAACTCAACTAGCAGAGATAGGTTAAACTACTTTTCATTCTCAGGTACCAACTTATATCTCTACCAATAACAGCGTTCTTTCCGGTCAGACAGAGGTATATTGGTCTGTGTAGAAGACATGGTTTTGGATGGGAAGGGGGGCGGGGGAGGTGTGAAGAGTGAGTAGAGGACAGAAAGAATGCTATTTCTAATTGAAAAGTGATAATTTACTTTCTGTAGTATTCTTAGGTCATTTCGTGTGTCTCTTATACATACAGCTAAGATATGTAAACTCCGAGTTATACGCCCAAGTTGTTTAGATTCAGGCGAGCATTCTAAAGAGCATTTTCATCTGATCAATGGCGTTAGAGCAACAAACTGTTTGATGACTACCTCACAGGTTTTCGAAACAGTCACTGTCAACAACATTCCTATTCTGGACTTCGTTCACCGTACTGGGACGATTATGCTTAACCTACTTATGAAATGACTCCAGGGCCGGCTCACTAACCTTTCACAGTTAAACACTTTTCTTTCAGAGGCAGTGGAATTGGTAAAGGAAATGATTAATCAGGTGGCAGAACTTCATACGGGAATCCAGTGGTTTCACGTGGGAGCTGATGAGGTTGGTAATGAGCCATGTGAACCACACTTGTCTTTGTTTGTTTTTTACAAACAGAGGTAGGAGTAATTGTTTTATTATTCATTCAAAATAATTCCTAGTTTAAAAACAAGCTAAAACATGCTTACCATCGATGTTAAGTTCATCTTCGATAGTGCCTGTTTATCGGCAGGTTTAGGAGATAAAAGGTTGTTCAGTTCTGCAAATATTCTCCAAACAGCAGATGTCGTCCGTCGAGTTGTCTTCTTGCTGTTCTTGTTATGTTTTTAGCCACTGATAAGTGGGCTATTTCTTTCTCGTGAAACGAGTGAAATGTTCCGCCATTTTGTATTCACTACCATTTCAACAAGACAACCTCGTCCCCAGGTCTTCGCAAAATCTTCCAAATTTGGTCGACAGTTAAAGGTGGTTATGATGAATTATACGTGGGATTTTAGCCTATCAGAAACAGAGAAATATTTTGAATGAATAATAATGACCTTTCTTCGTCCATCCAAATGCAGCTAACAATTCTAGAAATGTATTTTTTTTTTTATCTTTTCCTAAAAATTAGATACGTATTTTAAACCAGGAAAAAGCATCGAACAGACAAAATTTTTGGACGCAGAATTCAGTCATTCAGTTGTCAAAACTCACCCTACAAATTTTTTAGAGGGCCACTAGTTTATTAGTTTTATTAGTATTTTGTGTCACCCACTCTAAATAAAGTTCTTACCTTACCGTCTAACTGCCTGACACTTCAAGCTCTAACTGTTGAATTCTCTGTCTGAAAGTGTGTTTAGATTATTTTTTGGGATTTGTCTTTCATTGCAAGGGGAGAGTTCCCTGGCTATTTCAACCGTACATTAAATTGATAACCGCACGCTCTCTTTCCTGATTTGATTACACCACAGGTGTGGAACCTAAAGACTTGTCGCGCGTGCTTGGTAGATAACAGAAACAAAAGCATGATATTTTTGCATCACATGGTTCCAGTTCTACAACATGTGAGAAATAAGGGTTTCACACCAATCTTGTGGGATGACATGATGCGAGAGTGGACAATAGACTTCCTTAAAGGTTTGCTCTCTTTATTTTTTAACTCCTCAATGATTACAAATGCAGAAAGTCGTTTATTATGGTACAATTACCAGCGGTTTCGCCTTGGTTCCCATATGTAAATGTTACGTGCTTATTAATATGTGATGCAAATAAAAATCTCTTTAGAGATTTCAAATCAAAAGAGTTGCTGTTTGACCTCTTTTTCCTTAAGGTACGACTAAACGGGCAACGAAAACGCGCAACCTGTCACGTTGCAAAACGATTTGATCAGCGATGTTACGCGTTTTACCACCCACAAACCAAACCTGTCTTGCAACAAATCAGGCTGTTGCAGGTTGTGAGAAGTTGTTGCGGAAACTAGAGAGTAGCTGAATTTTTTGCAACAAAATCTGTGTAGGTTGCACGTTTTGCAACAAGTGACGTAACTGATCCGGATCCGGGTATTGTGTGACTCCCGCTTAATTTTATCCAATCATAAGTCAGTATTCACACGCAATTCAATTTGCAACAACCTGATTTGTAGGAAGACAGGTTTGAACGTGGGTGGTAAAACTCGTTTTGCAGCAATGTTGCCCACTCAGTTGCATTGCAAATCATGGTACTAAGTCAAAGTCCTTTTTGCGATCTGTAATAGTAGTATTCTTTTGTGTCATGTATTGCAGTGGTCGGCAGGTTAGCAGAGCCAATGATTTGGTATTACAGGACCGACCTTAGAAGCCATTTTCCCAAAGGTAAATTCGCCAATACTTACTTCGTTCGCCGTAGAAACAAAACTAACTTTTTGATCCTGTTCTTGGGAGAGAGGAATGACTTGATTTCCATTCAGGACTGTGACCATGCACCTACGTCACTAGCGGTTTTTCGCTCTGATTTTCTTGATAAACGATATTTTGTCGGAGCATAGCAGAACAGACCTCTTACTTCAGCTTGTATGTTTTATTATGTAGGTCATGTGATAATACTCTAGAGGACTTTTTCTTTCAAACTTCGTCTTATTCGCATGTACATAATTTAGTCAATTTAAAGTCTAACAAAATATAGGGGCAAACTCCTCTGACACTACCATTGGAAAAACAATAGGTATCGGTTAAATCGATACGGAAGCGAAGGGGTAGAGGTATGGTGTGCTGGAAAAATTAGTTGTGACCTTTGTCTATTTTAAACTCTAATTGATCCACAGAAATGTATCAACGATACTTTGAAGCGTTTCCTAAAATGTGGACTGCGAGTGCGTTTAAAGGTATAAGATTTTAATTTATCACTGATTTTTCATTTAAATCGAAGAAATTGTTAGTGGTACCACTAAGACACGGACATCCTAACTTACTTATATAACATCATGATATCATCATCATCATCATCATCATCATCGTCATGGTAGCTGGAACACAGTACAGGTCATCTTCCTTGTTAATATATATTTATTGTTTAGGTGCCACTGGGCCAAGTAGTGACTATGTATCCATATCAAAACACGTCTCAAACAACCTGCAGTGGGTGGATATAATGTCCAAGATTTCTAAGACGAATGAAGTGTTAGGAATCGCATTAACAGGCTGGAGCAGGCGAGTGTCATTTGTTCTCTAACTTACATTTAAAGCTTAACCTAACCACAGATTGTCATTCATCAGAACGTCAATTTTACATATGCTATATCTGGCCCCTTTTTAGAATAAAAAGGCTTCTACGAAGTATATTTGCCATTTGTTGTGACTCACTGGTTTCATAGGGTTTCTAAAGCTGGAGATATCGACACGGGAATCGCTTGTGTTGAGGCCAAGAAGCACGTAATTAAAGACCTCTCTTCACACCAAAATTGGGTCCAATTTTGCTTAGGATGTTTTGACAAGCCCACACTAAGCCCTTGTTGGACTTATGTTGGTTTTGATTCCTTCATTTCATTGTAGATACGATCATTATGGTACACTATGTGAGCTGTTACCAGCAGGAATACCATCACTTGTTTTCTGTTTAAAGGCTGTTGACGAAGGTACGTTCTCCCCTGTTCAGAAGATGGTCGTTTCAGTAATTCTTGGAAGTATTAATATTAAGTACATGGGGCAAATTAAGGGCGGTACCTCACAGTTATAGTGATTCTCCTTTGAGCCTCCTCAGCGTATGCTAGTTTCAGTGCAGTTATCGAGAAGAGTCTATGGCTTAGTCAAATATGAAAGGACGCTTAATCAAAGACGGCAACCTAGCGTTAACGCATGAAAGCGCATCTTCTAAGCATCTACAGTAGAACCCTGGTAGCTCGCACTCTGAAGGGAAAAGAAAAGCAATTCGAGTTAACTGGGAGTTCGAGTTATCGGGGTAAATTTTAGTGAAATTTTGATCAAGGAAAAAGAAAGTTCGAGTAAGCGGGGAATTCGAGTTATCCGAGTTCGAGTAATCGAGGTTCTATTGTATTTCCTTTTTAATCACACTTTGCCACTGCCTCCCGTGATCCCATATTCACGTCCAGAGTGAACACAATCACTTTAGAGACTTGGTTTTCGAAGGTCTGTTCTCGAATCTGATATAATGGTGAATGGATTTTGTTCTTAAAGGAAGTAAAAAAATAAGATTGACCGATTGATTGATTAAGAGACATAATGGACATACTTATAAATTGCAAGCTCGTCCATACCGCCCGCCAATAGGACGAGATTTTATAAAACGCATTTAGAAAAGTATTGATTACTATTGAGGGCATCAAACCAACCTTGTTTGAGCTACTCTTGCCTTCCATTGCAATAAAGAGTGGATTGTCATAGACGACCCTCAAATAGTTCTGTTTCACACAAAAACTGTGGTGCGTGTTTTGTAAAGAACTGACTAGTAATTTTTTTACACTCTTCTCTCAAGGTCAAATGAATGAAGCCTTACGCATAGCAATTTCCAAGGAACTTGGTTTCAGTAACAGAATTAATCTGGAAGGAACTGAATATTACGAGTAAGAATGTTTACTTCTGATAAACGTTTGTTGCATTACCATGCAGGTACTGTTACGTTAACGTCTATAATTGGTGTCCATCGTCGAATGACCGAGAAAGATAAGCGTTTCTCATATCCTTCTCATAGTTTCACATAATCAATTCCCAGTTGCCAAAATCGAATGCATTCGATTCTCACCCCTTTCCTCTATTCAAAGTTGCCACTGCAAGTTTTGAAGATAATCTTTGATTCTTGGCAATGTTGAAAACGGAAAATTGGGGCATAAATCACGCTAGGATTAAAGATATACGACATTGATGTTTTTTGGCCCAATGAGCTACAGTGTCTCAATGTTGTTATGCAGATAGTTCTAGCTATAACTCGTGCGTATACATACCCTGCAGTGAAAAGAGAACATATGGGGACTTCCCAGGTCATGAGGTCTACGAGCTCATTTTAAAGCTAAAGGACATCCATCATGCGTTGGGGCTAGTCCACAGCACGTGAGTATAGATATGTTCTTTTTACTGAATGACGACTCAATTTGGACAGACGTGAAAGGAAATGAAGTGCTTGTAAATTTCGACTAGACTGCAGCATCAATACAATGATACTGTGCAGAGGAGTCCTGATACTGTGTAAATTTAATGAATAAATGTAAAGAAAGCTAATAATAAAAATCATCGTCATCATCATCATCATCATCATCATCATTATCGTTAAGTTACTATTATGTTTTATCCACTAAAAGGAAGTCAAAGTTAACAGAAGTAAATAGAAGCAACAGCTCTATTCAGTAGTTAAGTAGTGCTAAATAACCACATACTTCACTGATATTACAATGCAATATACGACAGGTCGAATTCATTACAGGCTGAGGCGATAAAATGTGTTAAATACAGTTTGCCTCGAGAATATCTGCACACGTAAAACAACCTTAAGGATAACTGTAAAGTAATACGATGCAAAGGGTTATTAAGTAAAATAAAGTTAATACAATGCTAAGCTAAGCGCCCCTCCCAGTGATAGGCCGACACGTTTCTCAATCTTACTTGCTTCGTGCTTCACGCTTTCTCGTGTTTATGATATGTTAACAGGCATTATGCAATTGAAAACCAACTATAATTCCTATGTATATTTTTTATTTCTTAAATTATTAACTTTTTTAAAGTTTTTAAATTTTTAACTCTCAATTTTTGGCCATTTTTACATCTGTAATTTATTAAATGCAGGGCCCCACTGAAAACCATGTCTGACGTGGGCTCCCTGTATTATTATTATTATTATTATTATTATTATTATTATTATTATTATTATCATTATCATCATTAATACTATTATTATTTTCTTTGCAATGTAGTGAAAAGGGTTGGATGTTGAAACGGCAGCTAGAAGAACACTCTCTCAGCTATTTTCGATTGCGTTTTGCACGCATGAAAAGTATGCAGTAAGTATTGTTCACTTCCTTACCAGAGCAACACGGTGGAGATACTTGATTTCTTGTGCAGGAATCTCATTAATTTGCGCAGGAATATGCCATGAATAGGCATCCATGAATAGGCATGTCATGTTCTGTTTTCATGCAGTGGCAAGAAATAACCGGTTTGTTTTCACAGGAATATTAACGGCGATGATGTCATGAATATGGGCATCCCACTAAGATAAGGGTGTTCTGTTTTCATGTTGTGACTAGAATAACCGGTTGGACAGGTTTAAACTTATTTTTAGATTAATGATCTCAAAATTTTGGATCGGCTGATTTTGATTAGGAACGGTGTTTAGCGGCTATCTGGAAATCAGACTGTAGTTTGCTTAGCTGTCAAGCACAAACCCGGTTGTGACTGGAATGGATACGTCAAAATTAGATAGTCATCTTTACTCAAAATACATGTCAGGAGTCTTATAACTTAGTAAATAAGGGAAGAAAGAAAACGGAAGAAAACAATTGGTACGTAGTATCCGCATCATTTGATGTATAATCCACATCCGTTTCCACTAGAACATCAAGGGCTGACTGCCGACACTGGTTAATTTTAACGCACTGTAACTGGCATTTATAATTACATTATTGAAAGCTAAGCGTTTTTAAAAGAGTGCTTTACCCTAATCACTGTACTTCGGTACTTAAAGCTGTCTTCAACCCTTTTCCTTGCACAATCGTCTCTTACCTTTATTTCCCCACTTTTCTCAAAAATGTACCCAATAAATTTGCATAAATGGTTCTCTTCGAGGAGCATAACGTTGTGGAATAAACATAAGGTGTCCAACCTGATTTTAAGGTACCCATTTTAGTCACAACCAAACCATCACTGAACCACAAATTAATGATATTCCCGTGTAATAACGGGTTTAACCAGTGCTAACTATACAACTTATCAACGATCACATACTTAATATTATTTTTTTTCCTTTCAGGGCCGCTACCTCATACGCCGAATTAAGAGATGAAGCGCAGGCTTTACTGTCACAACTTTACAGCAATACCACAGTCACAGAATGGCTCAAGGATAAGATAGATGACAGAATAACAGACGCTCAATTTCAAATCAATAGAATAGAAAGTGTTGAAAGCATGTTCGAATTCGAATCAAGATAACACAGACATGTCATAGACTTTATCTTCTTGGAGCATTGTACGTTTCTGGGAATCTGCCCACCTACCCCTCCCCTAAGCCAATATTTAGCCCTTAGTGAGAAGTAAGTGTTAATGTTGGCTTAAGGGAGCGGTAGGTGGGCAGTTTCCGAGAAACGTATCCATCCTTTTTTAGGTCTTATCACGAGTCTGCCGTGCAGGTATTTTCTTAAGAATGTGGCGGGTGGTTGGGGTTTATGAGTCTCTATCAACTCTTCCCAGGCTTCAGCAGCTTTAAAAATCAAAGGTAACGACTGCATGCTGGACGCACTGAATACCTGCTCTCCCCTCTCCCTCCACTTCCCCCCCCAAAACTACGGCTACCTCTTCAAATGAATTTTCCATTTCTTGATCAATGCTTGATAATCGAATGATCTGGAAAAGTTAGAATTATTTCGTGTAGAAAACAATTCACCTACTGAATGTTTGCTATCTGTTTCGTCTATAGGACGTAGATATCTTCCCTGAAACTACATAACTTCTACCTTCCAAACTAATTAAGACTGTTAAAACAGTTTTTTCATCAGAAAGTACGCGAAGTTCCAAGTTCTGTACCCATTAGCTGTGCACGCTTACTACCTGAAAACCGAAACACTGAAGTACCTCAGAATATCCTACACACTTCGGAACACTCGCCACCGATTTCTGCTCAGACAAGAAAATATACCTTGAAAATTTTGAGCATGAGTCTCAGAACGTTAAACAATATTTATTCATTTCCACTGCTGTCTAGTCATTACTTGAGCCTTGCATTTGCTGTGAGTAATTCTTTTGACATGTGGAAGTTACACATTTTGCAGCGAAGATACCGACGTTCTTTGGACCACTTCGTGGCTACTTAATTTGCGTTGTTTTTTTCTTGCGGTTTGCGTTTTGTTTTATATTTCAAAGACCTTAGCCGCTAATACAAATTTTAAGAATTTTTATCATTACCGTCATCAACACTAAAATAATGGTTAGCAAGGATTCCGAGTGTATCGTCAACAGCTTTCTATACTTCTGTGATATTCTAGTGATAAAGCAACGAGTTTAACGAAAACTCAAATAAATCCTCAGCCGCGCACAGATTAGTCTTCTCTGGAGGTCTAGTTCTAATAGAGAGAAGTCGTTACGTCACGTTGCCATGGTTTCAAAATTTCTGGATGACAACAAATCGAAAACGTCTCTTAAAAAGTGAACTAGTACTGTTACAAACTTCATCGCTGTTATTAACTTTCTTTAAATTTGTCAAATGTTGGAGAAATTGTCTGGGGCTCAATCCGGAAAGACCGTATCTAAGAAAAAAAAAATTTCTTCACCTGCTCCATAAGGTGGGCGGGTGCAATTAGTCCCTGACGCAGCCGTGCAATGACTGCTCAGAAATGTTCAAAAAAGCGTGAGGCACGTGCAGAGTTGTTGTTTTGCTAACGTAAACCTATTGCTTTTTTCTTTCTCGTTGCCGTCGTCTTCGTCGTTTCTTATGCTCCCTCTTGTTGTGATCCAGAAATTTTGCTTCCATGGTAACGTGACGTCACACTTCTCTTCTCTATTTTCAAAACCACAGGTGATTCAAACGTGCTGTGCGAGGTGGGAGTCTGAGATTACTTAAGATATTAAACAATGGAGACGATTTTGTATTGAATATTCCCCAACCGAAATTTGCGATTATTTTGGCGATACTTAATGACCTGTCACTTGAATAGTACAATAAAGTTTGAAATAGAGAGTTCTCATACCTCTTGAAGTCGTTTTTGTCTGCTTTTGATGTTATTATTGATGTTTTCGTTGTCACGCTACGTCACTACCTCCTTGCAAAAAAATTGTAAATTTCGGTCAAGCTTTATCCACGATACAAAAATCCATTCCATTTCTTGATTCCCAACTCGAACAGTAAGACCATTAAGGTGATGTTACACAGGACGTTTCGCAACGACGATTTTTAGCGCAACACTGCGTTTCATTGTTGGACCAACGTTGCAACTATTCGAAACAATGTCTTAACAATGTTGTAATACTGTATTGCACTAAAAATCGTCGTGGTAAATCGTCCCGTGTAACATTACCTTTAAGACCTTTCACATTACAAAGAAAATACATCTAGCTGTACTAGGGAAAAGAAAGATCAATTTTACTCTTCGCAGGTTTTATTTGGCAGTAGTTGTTTGTAAAAATAGTAAATTGATCGCGGGTTGGCTACTTGTAATTTTACCCACCTGTTTCCAGGTTTTCCGAGTTATTACGGTGTTGTTTCCAAGTGTTCTGGGAGTGTTCCGAAGTGTTACGAAGTGCTACGAAGTGTTCCGAGAGCTTACGGTGTGATCTTGGTTGGAAAGTAAATGGAACGCGACTTTCTGGGTCGTTCCAGCGGAAAATTTGCGGGAGTAATGGAATATCTCAAGAGGTAGTCCTGTTTTTCCGGACGGAATGTTCCAAACGATTCCATTTTCAGGTTTTCGCGTCCGTTTTTCGGTAAATGGAACTGATCTGTACAAATGGCTAAGCCGATTCCGGGACGAAATTACCAGCCCTGAATTCTGTTTACCATTTGCACACACCGTGAACCGACCGGATTGCCGTTGAAAATGGTAAACAACCCTTGTCATCTATGGGTTGGTTTTCACTTGTGACGGAGTCTGAGTTGGAGTCGTAATCAGAAGCTTAAAGAGCTTATGATCTAGCAACGTTCCGATTCCCCTTACGACTCCGTCGCTTACGTTCTGCTTATAATTTAGTGAAAACCAGATTGTCGGAGTCGGAAGCAGAAGCGGGAGAACTACGCCAATCACAAATCGAGGGAACGTGCATTGTGATTGGTTTATCCTTTCGCTTCTGCTTCCGACTCTGATAATCTGGTTTTCACTAGATCATAAGCGGAACGCAAGCGACGGAGTCGTAAGGGGAGTCGGGAGAAATGGAAACGTTCTGATTCTTCTGACTCCGATTCCGTCGTGCTTGTGACTCCGCTTACGACTCCGATTTTTTATTTTCACTAGGTCATAAGCGCTCTTACGATTCCGCTTACCACTCCGACCGACTCGAATATTTTTTCTTAACCAAGTCAGTGTCGCGAAAAAGTTTTAATTAGTAATTGAACAACATAAGACCGAATTGTACTGTTCAGTACCTTACTTTGCAAGTTGTCCTAATAAGTAATTATTGAAGTTAGAAATTACTTTTTAAAATTTCATTGACAGTGTAAAGGGATTTCAAATATCACTCACGGCTAAGCAGTTAAATAAAAGGCTGGCATGAATTTTGAATTAAAATTTTCAAAGAAAACATATCAGTTTCGGCACCTTTCCTTATGACATAGGCCAAATTCTGGAAAATAGTTTAAAATAAAGTTACTTATCGAAATACACAGTCCCAATTTTTAATAACTTAAGTAAATATAACTGAAAGGTTTAATTGCAGCCTCTTGATGCTTCAGCCTACGACGTGAACAGTTTCTTAGTGCTGAGCAGTGGATAAGCTATAAACCAGGTCTCAGTTGTTGACATTGTTAATAAGGCTATCCTACACTGGATAACGCAATTGGTTTCCTAAATACTTATCCGTTTGAACAACTAAGGCCAGAGCCATAATCTAATTTACACGACTCTGTAATTAAGTTTCAATTTAATCTATTAAATAAATCAACGAATCAACTAATGACGAAGGCGTTTTTCCGCATTCTTAAACAATAGTTATTAATAGCAATCGGGTTACAGACAAGTTTGTTCCTGCACCTACACCTATCCCGTAGTCCACGACCGTTGGGCCGCCACTGACATAGCAACCCTTTCCCTCCATTTGATTTTGTTTTCAGCTTCTCTTACGGCCTTGCAAAACTTCAACCTTGTCCACTAAGGGTTCGTTCGTTCCAACTTCACGCAAACTATTAAAAAGTAAGCTGAATTACTTCGCTTCTTTACATATTCTCTTTGCTTTGTTGAAGCCACTTTAAAGTTCGAACCAAAATGCCTTCAAAAATTTATGCTAAGACCAGCAAACTTTACATGAGCGTTAGTAACATGTTATTTTGCGGGAAAAAACTACTTACAATAGCATATTTTTACTGCAATACATCCTAAATTTAGCTCTTGTCCGACAGTTATTTTAAAAGACATTCTTCCAGTGATAGCTTATCATAGCTGGAAAAATCAATAATCAATAATGCCTCTAGACCGGCCATATTCTGAACATGTAATTTCTTGAAAAGACATTGATCCTTTGGCAATATCGAATATCGTTCCGTCAGGGAGAGGGGTACCTTCACTTTGCACCAACTGGATCTTACACAGCTGCAGAATACACTCCTCTTACCCACACCATTGGCTCATTCATGCATTAAAAAAGGAAAACACAACCACTAAAACTAACAGTGACAGCATTCTTGATGTTTTTCGCAGAAGGCAAAGACTATTAATTCTTTTTGTTGTAGGCACGTAATTTAAAAAGCATTACCTTTGAACCTATTGCAGAGGAATTGGCTAATGCCCCGTGGCAGGTTGGAGAAATTTTCAATGATATTGATGATAGAGTTGATTACTGGAATGGATTAATAAGTTAACTGCATTAATTAGCTTGGTGGAAAATTTGGAGACTAGCCTTGGATAACAAATAGAAAGCACTTTTGGTTATCAATGGACATGTCTAAGGCCTTTGACTCAGTTCTTGCCTCATTAACTGTGGCCAAACTTGGCGCTTCCGGTTTTAATGACAAATCTTTGCAATTAATGCGTTCATATTTTAAAGACCGGCTCAACACGGTGAAAGTTGGCAAAGCTACGAGTGACTGGAATGTGATGAAACGTGGATGCCCTCAAGGATCCTCCTTTGGTCCAACACTGTGGAACTTGTAACAAAATGATCTATCGTATCACATAAATGAGACTGCAAATTTAAATATGTATGCTGATGACCATCAGATGTATATAGTTGGCAGCGATATGTCCATTATGTGTACTAATATGGAAAAGGAAGGAAACTCTGCCCCTAAATGGTATAAGGACAACTATTTACTGTCCAACCCAGAAAAACTTAACGCCATAGGGCGTAATGAAACAACGTAATGAAACTGAACAGATCAACATCAAGATCGGTGATCAACGCTAATTCTGTTGTCTATTATAGTTCGATGACCCACACTTGAAGCTGCTCTTAGATTAAAAATCGGTTGTATAATCGCTTAATACGTTTTTCCGGTCAGTTTCCCACCCCGTTCTCGCCAGGTTAAGAAACTTAATTACTACAGAGGCTAAACTATTACTTTATAAAACTGCTATCATGCCATATCTCACCTACTGTCATCTCACATGGCATGTCTGTAAGGCGCCGGATACAAGAAAGGTTGAAAGAATTCAAGAGCGGGTACTAAGGATAGTTTATAACTCACATTCAGAAACGTATATGAATTTATTAGATCGTGCTAAACTACCAAGCCTTCTTAATAGGAGATTACAAGACATAGTTATACTCATGTACAAGGTTAAATACAGGCTGGTTCCTTATTTCATTTGTGACATTTTCAGTACTAAGTCTTGTAAGTATAATTTTAGAAACCAAAATTTTGATATTCCTAGATTTAATTCTGTGTTGTATGGTAAACACTCTCTTAGATATCTTGGACCCTTTTTATGGAACAAGCTAGATAAAAACATCACTGAAACGAGCAGCCTATCTAGGTTTAAGTTTCATATTAGATGTAAGGATCTTACTGAACTGATAAATGGCAACAATTGCTCCGAGCGCGTAATTTGTACCTCTTAAGTTGTGCCCGTGTTCCTAGAATTGTTTTAATTATTTTAGCATATTGTAAATGTATATATAATATATATAGGATTATACTATAGCTTTTTTTAAAGCTTTTTTATTTCTTATCTTTTATTTATCATATTATTCATTATTTATTTTATCTTTATGTTGTGTCCCCAATTAGCGTCAGCTAAATACATCGACACATGAATAAAGTTCATCATCATCATCATCATCATAATCATCACGTTCTGTTATGCTTTTGTAAAGCAGAGCAAATCACATCTCACTGTTCCATCGTTCCATTTCTATACTTGCAAAGCAAGGATCAGAGAAATCAAGAAGAAACAGCCGAGGACATTATGTTATTTATACTGGAGTTTATCGATGAAAGTGGTCTCAGTGAAACGACAAGATTCCAGGGACTACACGGTCAGGGAGACGGTGAGATACTAGTCTTTTTTTAAGGACCATTGGGCTGTAGGTTTGCTTTGCTTGACACTCCAGGGGTTCATGGGCTTAAATGTTAAATATTTATAAATTTTAAAATTGATTACTGAGCATTTTCAGACACAAAAAGTTGTTGTTGTCCTTACTGAGAAACAAGGGGAAGTTGACTATGATAAAGGAGAGAACACCCGTCCAGTGTTTTACGGTACAAACGACAACTTCACGGCGATTTATCTAGTAACTGCAGAATAGGATCCTTTTAAACGTGTCTCGAAAGTCCTTTGTCATCACTGCGTAAATAATTAGGTTAATAGAAGAGCTTGCCGACACTGTAAACGTGGTTGTAATGTAGACTGCTCTTGGTGCGTCCAGATCATTGCGAATCAAAACAGCCAGCTCCAACGCATACAGGGGTATCCAGCACAAGTGAAATGCCACCATTGTCACGAAGAGCATTCTCGTTACGCGAACTTCGCGTGCGTAACTTTGCGAAGCGATCTCACTGTTGCCACTTGCAACAGAATTGGCAATTTGAGCATTGTGGTCATGGATTTTTCTAAACACCTTGAAGTAACAGAAAAACATGATGCAGTGTGGAATCACAATGAAAAGAGCGTACGTGCAGTGGAGAAAAACACGACCAGTTAGGCTTGAGACGGGATAACAAATGCTTCTGTTAGAGTTGAAAGCGAAGCGATTTCCAGTAAGTAAGAATATTGGAAGAGATATGCTGGCAATTATCCAAGAAAAAATAATCATCAAAAGAACTGTATTCTTCTTGAAGACTTTCTTGTATAAGATATTGGACTTGACCATCTTGACGTAGCGATTTACAGAGATAAGCATAAAGGTTTGCAAGGAAACAACGCCTAAGATGAATATGGCAACGCCATGATATTGGCAAGCTGCATCACTAAATGGCCACTTGCCAGTGACGAGGGCGCTAAAAGTTAGAGGTTCAACAAGCACTGCCATTAGGATGTCAGAGACTGCGAGAGATACAATGAAGTAGTTATTGAGGCTGCGACGAAGAGTGGAATTGTTGATGAAAGCAAGGCAAACGAGGATATTTCCGGCCAAAGCTGTTAGAAACATGAGTGAGAAAATCACGCCTTCAAAGACCACTGTACTTATCGCCCGGTCAGCAAGGGCGTTATAGTCACCTTCCTCTGCCATTTTGACGCAATCTAGATCACAATAAAAGCGTTCTTTGATAATTGATTCCTAAGAAGAATATGTCATTCTCTATCTCGAATAATACTGCAATAGCATTGAAGCACAGCTTTGAAAATGACTTTATTTAATTAGATCATAAATCCTGAAAAACACCTGTCACATAATTCATTCTTATTGGAGAAACGAACGCCATCTAAAGATTGCTTGTAATTAAACATCAATCTCATGAAGTCAGGCGCATACAATTCCGTCGAGTTTCCCTTTAAAAGTAATGGTAGGACTATCAACCACATACAAATGGAGATAAATCCGCACAATACTTAAAGTCCTAATTATATTAAATCATAAGCTTACAAAATTAACAAATGTAAATCATTTCTTTGTATATTGGGTGTCACTATGACATATAATTTCCATGCAGATTACATACAGAAAAAGATAATGATCATCCCTATATCAACACGTGATTTTAATACCACGTTTTGAGCCCAACTTTTTTTAGGGTTAAATCTGATTTCAGCTTCCTTGCAGTAATAAATTGACATCAATTACTTCCTTCTCTTTATCGGGTTATATACATTTCTCATCACAAATCACCCACATTTGGAAAAAAAAATTTTATCCAACCTTTTTTGAATATAAGGGAGCCATTTACCTTAGTCAGGATTATACAATATTTCAATTTGATATTTACATTTTCGTACAAGTTTCTATAGTGAGATGCATCGTTGGAGGCTGAAAAAAATGTAATTGCAAAAAAAAAAGAAAAAAATGAGTGTTTCTTCTGTTTCTTTAACATCTGTAGCGTCAAATTACTAGAACATGTAATGTTTCGACACATCATGACACACCTGGATGCACATAATGTGTTAGTTGATCAGCAACATGGCTCCAGGAGTAACCGTTCATGTGAGACAACTTATTAACAGCATAGAACACTTAGCCTGCGTGCAGACGATAACTAAACTCTGATTAGTACCGTCTGCGAAGCAGCGCAGAGATCCTTGTTCTGAACCCCCAACGGACTCAACGAATTACCGGAAGTGCGTTTCGAATTTCCCTTCAACCATCACGACAAACAAAACAAAGGCCTTTTTTAACTGGCCAATCGTGGCGCGTACTCAAATCTGGGTACACAGCTGGAAGTCCAGAACAAGGATTTCGGCGCTGTTTCGCAGACGGAGTTAACCAGAGTTTAACTTCGTCTGCGCGCAGGCTAAGAACACTTGGCACGCTCAATTAACTACAGAAACCAAACCGACCTTTTGATACTGGATTTCTCAAAGGCATTCGACACTGTTTCGCACAAGCGTCTGCTCCTGAAACTTGAATATTATAGCATCCGTGGCCACCATCTAAACTGGATGCAATCATGGCTGTTAAACAGAACTCAGCAAGTAGTACTCGAAGGGGAACATAGTGAGAAGTCAAATGCAAAATCAGGATTCCCACAAGGAACAGTCTTAGGGCCCCTCTGCTTTTTACTCTACATTAATGACATGGGCAACAACATCTCATCCAATCTGAAACTTTTTCCTGATGAAACCCTCCTGTATGGCCTTGTCCATAATGCAAGTGATGCTCTTCGTCTTCAACGAGACGTAGACAGCCTTGTTACCTGGGCACAGGAATGGAAAATGAACTTCCACCCCTCTAAATTTTATGTTCTTCCGATTTACAGGATCAAGAAGCTATTATACACCATTACATCATGCTAGGTCAAACACTAAAAGCTGTTGACCACCAACCTTATCTGGGCATTACCATCTCAGAAACACTTAACTGGAAAACGCATATCTTGGATGTGAAGAATAAAGCAAATAAGGCCTTAGGCTGCATTAAAAGGAATCTCCACTCGTGTCCAGAAAGAGTTAAAGCACAAGCATACATCTCCTTAGTGAGACCTTTCCTAGAATATGGAAGTACTGCATGGAATCCTTACAGGGTGTATCAAAAATCCTGGCTCGAACAAGTACAGAGACGTGCCGCGCGTTTTGCTACTAAAACATATTCAAGACAGGAAGGATGTGTTACCCAAGCACTAAACCATCTTAATTGGCCAATATTGGAGCATAGAAGGAAAGTGAACAGACTAACTTTAATGTACAAGACACTTCATGGCCAAGCAGCAATCAATATACTACCCGCGAAACATAAACGGTAATGAAAACTAGAAACTCTGACCCAATAAAGTTTATTCCAGTACAAACATCATGTGATGAGTATAAATACAGTTTCTGGCCTGGAACAATTAATGACTGGAACAGTTTACCGCCACATATCATAAACATGACCTCAATAAGTAATTTTAAAGCTGCTGTAAATAATTATATCTCTGCTTAAGTTTTAGTTCTATCAACTTAATTATTAACTGATTGTTACTAATTTCATCATTACTATACCACAATTATTTATTACCTTATTTGCACATATTTATTTATTCATTTTTATTCTTGCACTTTGCACTGGAATTTGCTAGATGTCCTTATAGGATTTTGCAAATAAATTATGTAGATGTAGAAGAGATTACCCGTAAAAAAGGTTGTTAGAGGTTTTCCTCAAAAAAGGTTAGCTTCAACAAAATGAAATTTTCCATCTTATTTTTACTAATTCATTTAAACCAATCACGTAAAGGTGATTTGTCGCGCGTATATTAATACCCGTGGTTTTAAAGTTGTATGAATTGTCCGCAGTGTGACGTAGACTAAACAAAGTGAAGGAGGGGGACATGAGGGGTTACGGTATTGCAGTATTTAGCTTTTTTTCATGCGATATTTCGGTAATTTTGATTTAGTGTGCGGTATTGCGGTATCATCTAGATCCGCGGTATGCGGTTTTCCCCCTTTTGGTTAACGGTATTCGGTAAAAGAAGATCTATTTTGGACACGGTATTTCGGTATTTCACAATTTTTCTTTCGGTATTGCGGTATTGGGTACCCCCCAATGTCCCCCTAGAGAAGGGGCTAAATACTTACTTTCAACTAGGTTCTCGCACTTTTGGAAACAGTATAAAACGCCTGTCATAGGTCAGTAAGATGTACTACTAAATGAATTATTTGCAGAAAATAGAATAGTTTTTGCTTTCTTCATAAATTTTCCTACGTAATTATAACGGGGATTGAAATGTCCTGATTGTTGTTATTAGTAATTACACGGAGTAAAAAATTAGTTAATTTGTCTAGGTTAGTAATACATGAAAAAAGGTTGTCAATGGATCACGAGATAGCAGATTCAAGGACCTTGGAGTACAAGCATGCATGAGTTACATTAACTGTTCATTATGATTTAGGGATTAGAGTAACGTCAGATTTAAAACAAGGATAAAACAAACTAGTTCGAGATAAGAATCACCACACGACGACAACAGCAACTCTATTTTTCAGCAATTTACATTCTTGATTACCATATTTGAACATGCAGCAATAAAAAAAGAGTGAGAGTACAGGGTGCCTCGCGAAATAACCCATAAGCACACAAGATCAGTGTTATCCCTAGATAATGTATGTATTATGTATGCGAATAAAAACCTCTTGGAACGGCACATCTTTATAGAGCTTGCAAAGATCTCCGGCCATTATTTCTTACTTTTTGTAGAAGATATACATAAGATGGAAATGTCATGGAAAAGTTAAGAAATACTTAAGCTACCAATATTATCTGTACAAAGCCGAGATTTATAACAGACAACTCGCTGATAAACAGAAAATGTTTAAATATTGATAAGGCTTTGAAGACAATCACTGTTAGTTTCGGACACGTATAGCCGATTCGTATCAAATATTTCATTCATCTTCCATAGCACTTTCGGCTTGTTATACATCAGGAACTGACGCAAATATATTTAAGTATGATTTTTTGAACTCCTCGTGCCAGAAGACACTTTACTATCAAATTAAATAAACTGTTTTACTTATTTTGATTTGTTTGATTTTTTTTATTTCGTTTGCTTTGATTAGATAATCCAATTCCTTGTCCAATAAGTATCACTTTTATAGCAAGACTAAATCGATAGAGCAAAGACGACCCATAAGCAGGCTTGATATTATGCCTACTTTACGCTCATAGTTTATTACAAAAGTGTGTCAAGTGTAAAGAGGTTGGAGAAAAGAGTTTATTGTTCACACTCAGTCAAGTGCATGGCTTAACGGTAACAATATAACCTGAGGTATTCCTTGGGTAAGTTGTGTCTAGAAAAGATCAGTTTCTCCCACGCTCAGAAGACGACTGGAGTCGCGGAAGTTGAAGTCCCCTTCACAGTATATTTGAAGGTACAAAAAATGTATACTATAAGTATAATTCCATAAAAAGATGTCCTACAAAAAAGTTAAAAGGAGCAATACACAAGCTAGCCTGTCCTAGGCTAGTGGAGTCGTATACATGCGTGCATGGCTTTTTTTTTCCTCAAGAGTATGTTTTGCATGCAAATATACGAACATGTGGTTAGTAATGTTTTGTCGTTATAAGAAATCGCTGGGGATGTCAATAGTTTTCAACTCTGTTTCTACTGCTTACGGACAAACAAAAGATTAAAATTACATCGATTTTTCCTAACAAAGAGATTTATTGTATTTCAATTTATGGATTAATTTGTTAATCATTACTTCGAGGTGTTTGTTTGGGTTTACAATTTTTATTGATTATGTTGCCAGAGAAAGAGAATGTATTAAGGATCTTTCCCTGAGTTGACCTACCAGGAAAGACGCATTATATTGTTGTTACTGGTAAACTATAGGTATCCGAGAAAGTGCGATACATTACTTTCTCAAACAAACCAGAAGTGAGCTCCGTATTAATATCGGGTTTTTGATGGTCCTTATATATACGGATAGAAATCATACTAACGTATTAAAGTTTCATCTTGTGCACTGAGAAATATCGCATACGTAGTGTATGACTCGATATGACTCAGGGGCTTGCAAAATACCTGAAACTGTTGCAACAAATATCGTGACAAAACAAAAATCCAGCAATCTTACGTATCTAGTTCCGGTTATAAAACACTAATGATTTAAAGTGAAATAAACGTAAATACTAAATACAGCCATACGCTGTGTATGACACAACTCATCTTTGACAGCTCGGTTCAAAATGACTTAACAACAAACCACAAACAAGCGCGAGAAACCCTAAAGTCCGGAAAGGGTTTATTTGAAGTGTTGTTCAAGATGTCGAAGACATTTAAAAAATATATTTCGCTAAGAGATTAGAGCAAAGGGCTATGCCTACTCACAAGTGCGAGTTCTTCAAGATCCCATTGTTCCTGATACCTGGTAAAATATCCCGCAATCACGTTTTTTCTCATTAAGTGATTTTATCCATGACCAAACGGTATGCTGTAAATATTAGCGGAGCCTTGTCACGAAAATTCAAACAGTGGGAATCGTCAACAGTTTGAGTGAAAATTAAAAATACCTGCTAAAACATAAAAGAGTTGAAGGTGTATAGTGACACAGCAAATACAAAGAGAGGCGTGGATGGAAAAAAAACTTGAAGAAGATTCACACGGATAGCAAGTGTGATTTTTGAATAGTTGTTAGCCTTTAAACAGTTTTGCAAAGTTCATTTTTGTTGTTTTTAGCTTTTCGTATAGTGCTTAGAAGACATTGTTAGACACGAACGAAGGTGACTTCGTCATTCCCAATTAATTTCTCAAGGTCCATAGCGAATAATGAGCCGTAAAATTGACATTACAAACAAAACGAACTAGCCATGACACAGCCCCATTCCATTTAATATACCCCCCCCCCCCTCCCCGTTGACGAAATTTTCTAAAGAGGGAAACAAAAACATGGAATTTCTGAAAGTTGTAGGACTGAATACCAAGTTTTTGGAGGGGAATTAGCAAAAAAGCAAAAATTTGTGAGGGTTGTAAGATTTATGGCTAGATTTTCTGAGGGTAAGAAGCAGAAAAGCAAAAATTTGTTTACGCTATTAGACTCGTAGGGGAAATTTTCTGAGGGTTTGGGGGTAAAAAGGGTATTTTTCCCTAGGGTTAGGAAAATTTCAAAGTCCTTCGTCAACGGAGGGGAGGAGGGAGAGGGCGTATATTAAGTGAAGGGCCCTGAGGGACCAGTAATTTTTCTTCCTCAAACTGCTTTTCACGGTCCACATCCTAAACAACTTCAAGCTGCATTCGACGCATTTTCTTGGTGGTATAATTACTAGATGATATATTGCTTATTTGCTTTTTGTCACATTTACGTGAAGTACAACTTATTTGAAAACTTGAAAGGAAAATATTATATTTAGCTCCAAAAATAAATAAAACATTACGCAATGACGTAGTTTGACGTCATTAAAAAGCGGGGCCATCTAAAATTAGAAGTTTTTCACCTTCGATTTACAAGTGTCAATAGCTAAATTGCACTTAGATATGCTGCAAGGCTCTAAATGAGTAGAGAATTTAAACTGGTCGAGGCAAGCAATACAAAATGTTGTGATTTATTACTAATATAATCGTTGATTATGGCAGTGATACTGTTTGTGGTTTATTTTCGGTCATCCTACAATCTTTAACCACCAAAACGGAATCTTCTCGGGCGTTCGACAAGTCTAACGATCCGTCTTCAGATCTGCGAGCCATTAAGATGAGTGTTTTTTAAGTAACGCCCTTATAGTAAATGTTGTTATGTGACATCTCTTCTTTCCTTTTTGTCCGTTGTTAGTCGACCAAATTAAATGATCTCTCGTTGAAAAAGCGTTTCGGTGCTACGGAAAGGCGTAGGAACAAAGTGGCAGAAATATTATGCATCACTTAACTTTAATCAGTATATACTTTCGCAATTTAGCGTCGTAAACATTTACCACGGGGAAGAATGAACAGGGGAATCTGTTTATAGTTTGTTCCTTAAGATGGCACTGTTTTGAAAGTAAAATCAGCGAGGGTTCTCATCACTCATTCTCAGTAGTAACTAAATAATCTTACAATGAGGAAAAAAACTCAAACTAAATAAAAAGAACGAACTAAGACCAATTATGATGGAATTTTATAAACGTAAATTCTTTTAAGCTTCTTTTTTTATATCTTTACGATCTTTTCTTTTTGCTATTTACTTGCTCTATTTTAAACCAAAAATGACAGCTTTAATAATGTTTAAGAATTGATGAAATTAGGTCAATCTTAACTTGACGTCAGATCGGATTCTGTAAAGAGCCCTTCTTTCCACGGGGGACCATCACGATCGTTGGCTGTTAAAACTGTAGTTTAAGTTTTGAACACTGCACTTAGAACACAGAAAAAATAACTATAACTGTTAAAAAGGCGGCGAAAACGGGCCTTTTATCTGGTTGCTTGGCTGCACACACAAAAACTTTAAAGCTTAATCGTAAATTTCTAGGTTGCAATTTAATTATATCACGCATAGCTATCTAGTTTAATAAGTGCTAAATGAAACAAAACCCGGAATACATGAAATATTCACTCTAGCCATACGCGCTCCGTAGACACAACAGTAACATCAGAGACAGAGTGGTGGGGGAAGATGAATGTCTTGTTGACAGAAGAAACGCATCGTTTTTTTACACTATAAGAATTTTTTTTCTGTGAATTTCAAGGACGCCTTGGAAGTGAATAAGTCCTTACGCAATGTTAAGGTGGCTGAACACAATTTGGTAGGTTATGAACCGTTAACATTCATTGCAGTGTTATTTATGGCTCCTTAAGCTTAAATTAGGCGTAGACCAAACATAGTTACAAGACAGTACATTCATTAGGATAAACGTAAAATTTTGATCGTTGCCATGGCAACATGGATGATTTGAAACAAGCCTAAAAGTTTGAATTTCTTTCCTTATGAATTTGCACACAGCTTACAATTATTGCCAGGGCAGGGAGGTTTAAACGAATACCCATGCAGAAAAAGCGCAACGGATTTTGTGCAGACTAAATTTGCACGTCTGACGTAAAGTAACATTAGGGCTAATCTAAACCTTGTTTGGTTTTTGAGGTCACTGATTCTAATAGAAACCTGCTAAACCGAGGCCTTAGATTATGTTCTCTTTTAAACGGAGTTGTAGTGTTCAATTTGGAATTTTTAAGGTCAAAAGGTCGCAGTTTTATTGTTGGAACAAGAGAATACAGAAAGTATCTGAACCCTGACTAGGCTACGGGATCGAGCAAGGGATATTAAGAAGGAATCCACAAGGAAATTGAGTAATTCTAATTTTCAGTGGACAAAAACCTTGTACCAGAATAGTTTAAAGCATATTTCATTCTATTTTATATTTCTCAAGGGCAAAAGATGTGATTAGTCATCTGTA